CTGCACCTCCGTGTTCTCACTTCCCACCAGCATCCAGCTGGATTCATATACTGTGTATGCAGACTCTGCATGCACATGTACACACGGGGCTGCTGCACAGGCCGCGCTCACATAAACCTCACCTCAGGTCTCATCCTTGTCTCCTCTCTGCTTGATCAAGGTGAAAACACATACGCATAAAATGTACCTACGTATATACAGCGCGGATCTCTAGAAGCTGGCATTCGACCTGCCTTATGGACCTGTTCTTAGACCTCCAAGCTACCTCTTGCCTCCTCTGGTCTCACCTCGCCCACAGATTCACACCAACAGTGAATTTGATGAAGAGCTAGGAGAAAAACAAAGCAGAATACATGTGCAGAGTAAAGAATAGGAGCTGGATTACCTTCCTTTACAAAATGCCTCCCTAAGGGGTTTGTGTTTGGCCTGCAACCTTGTTTTATCAGCCAGTCACCTCCCAAGGGGGTTTCCTACTGCTGTTGAGAGGTACATGGCAGCTCTTTGTGTCTGTAGGTAGCAACCTCATCCTTCACACACTAGGTTGGTGTAGAAATATCATAGTACCATACCAAACTGATTTGGGTGTTTTGTTTGTTGAAGAAAAGTGGTAAAAGTACATCACTATGTGAGTGAGTAGAGTCTTTCTTTGGCAAGATAGTAATGATACAAATTCTCTGGACCACTTGCATCTCAGAGAAGGTAAATTGATTTCAAACTGGACTAAAAAAGCTCATCTGAGTGCATCACCTCTTGATGATGATACCCTCCAGACTTGAAAACATAGTAAAAGTGTTAAGATGTTTGGTCTCATTATTTATCTAATGCAAAATGCTATGTAAAATGTGTAATGATTTTTTTTTGTGCTGTTACCAGCCTTTAAACCTAAATATATGAAAGAAGCACATGGTTCCCAGCTCTTTTTAACCTGTTATGTTCATACTGATCCTGAAACCAAAATTATTTTAATTGAAGCAGAAAATCTTTGTCAGTCTCAAAATGGAGCATCTAATATATTGTTATTATGCAACTAGTTCCATTTTTATTAAAGTATGTCTGTGCTACAGTAGCTTTTTATAAGCAATGTGTATAAATGAATTGTTTTGAAAAACTCAAACATTTTTGAATTGTATTTTTGGCATTTATAAATTAATTTCAGAAAAAAAATCTTAACTAAAATCAGTTTTATAAGGTAGTGTAGAACCTAAAATAAAATTTTCCTATTATTTATTCTAGAATATTTTCTGGTTTGGGAATTCATTTTTTTGAATAAATGTTTGAAAAAAAAATACAAAATCTAATTTCCACTTTAAATACCTAAGGCAGACGTTCAAGGCATGCCAATGCACAAGTAAATAAATTAAGGATGCAAAATATTTCAGCACATTTGTCCAAGATTATCAATAAACAAAGTTATAGTTTCTGGAATGAGAGACCAGAATACTAATTTTTGAATTTTCATTAACTGCTGTACTGGAGTCCCTGAGAGAATAAGAACAAATTGGACATCTGTTGAATTAGCATTAGAGCAGTATGCCTGGGTAATGTACTCCAGAAAAAGAGCAAGGGAAATCTTAAATGAATTCACAGGAAAGTATTTTTACCATGGTTGCAGATCATGAAATCATTTGGAAAAAAAAACCTGTCTTCTAAAATGACAAAAGGAATATTTAAAAAATATATTATCTTAAAGAATGCAAGTGGCTCACTGAATGAACACAGGAACCATGCAGTCTTTCTGCTGAAGGGACATTGAGTTGCTTTTCATGTTGCAGTTGTACAAAAGCTGTCACTCACGTCCAACACAAGGACAGTGTGACAGTGTTAGCCAGCCTTAGTTGTGTAGCTACCAAACAGCGCTGGGTCGGAGGAGCTGAATGTCACCCCTGGCGCTTGGCCGCAGTCACTCAGCTGCTCTCTGCAGTGTCTGCAGCACATTTCTGAAGGGAAAAAAATGTCTCCTTCAATCCATGAACATGTCTCTGATAACTGTGGACAAGAGAAACATTTCTTTTTTGAGGCAAATCTTTTCCTTCCCCAGCCCCCCACTAAAATGATTTTTTTTCTTTGAGTAAGGAGGTGTTTTTAGTCTGAAATGATTAAAAACACTCCATTCACCATGCCGATCAGTGATACCAGTCTTATGAGTAAGGCATATATAGGTGTGAGGGATGGCTGCCAAGGTGGGTACCCAGACTGCAGCCTGGCTGCAGTTCCCCTTATCGGACATAATYGAGACAGTGCAGAATTAATTTGGAAATACTTTGATGTCCTTATTCAGTGCCAAAACCAATGAAGGCCCAATGCAGGCATTAGCTTGAAAAGAGGACCTTTAAATGAAAGTTATGGTCCAAATGGTTCCTGTTCTGCTGTCCCCCAGCCTGGGGAAGATGCCTGACTCCAGGTAAGTTTAAGTTTCCCAGGCAGCTGGACTCAGCTACCCTGCACTCAGGAGGCAGATGAAGCTGCTGACCTGCTGTATGAGAGATGCTGAGCAGTAGCAGGAGGCTTCCAAGACTGCTGAGGCTTAGACCTGCTTAGAGCATCCTAGTCATGGTGGCCAGAGGGGCATCAGGACCATTGTGCCACTGTCACCACCACTGCTTCTTCAAAAGAAACCTGCCAGCTCCTCCTGGATTAGGGTTCACACTGGACCATCCTGAAATAGCACTGCTGGACTTCCTTGATGTATGGAGAGCTCCAAAGCAACTCATGGGAAGTGCTTCTGAAAACACATGGATATCTAGCACGGATGGTCTCATGTTGTTGCAATGTGATACAATAGTGTCCTCATACCTTAATTCTAGTTCATCTGAAATCTGAATAATCACTTAGAGTATCTTCTTTCAAAAGCAGTATTTATTTTTTCATCAGGATAAGACACATATTACATATGGCATTGAGTAAAAAATACTGCTAGAAAAGCTGCATTTAACTGAGTTAAAAAAATACATAAATTGCACTTGTAGGCTCTATCCCAGAACAATATACTAAATAAAAAGCTAGCAAGTCTTGAAATTAGAAATGTATTTGAGTTACTTTGAAAATCATGCTTAATTTTTAGGGGGAGCTGTGCCAATTCTACCAATACAGATGGAATATTAGCTTTTTTAACAACATTTTTTCTTAAATTAAAATAAGATATAAACATCATAGCAATTATTACAAAGAGAAAATAAAGGTGTGGAAAAACATACCTGCAATTACTGTCAATAAATAGAAAAAATACAAAGTTTTGCTGGCATTTCATTTCATCAGAGACATTTCAGCCTGGGGTCTGAGATCTGAGAGCTTTATTTATTTATTCTACATGTACCTCCCGCCCTGCAACACAAAGCCCATACTTGAACCCTTTTCTGCATCAACCTGGAGCACAGAAGTCACTGTCTTTACAGGAGATGGTAGCGAGAAGCAGCGACCTATACTCTGTGGTTCCTATTCAATGCTATGTGTCCCAGGGGAAAGACTAAAATTTCCGACAATTTTAACTTACATTTAAGAAAATTAACCCCAAATTAAGCATGAGGACTATCCCTATTCTACCAAACTCTCTCTCTCTTTTTTTTGGTTCTGTTTACAGTTGAATTGGCTGGCATCCACTATCACCTGTACTGTAGCTAGTTCAGTTGACTAGCCTTTCAAGCCGGCATTCAGACCATCTGCTTTGGGTATCTACCAGAGAGAGAAAAACTCTCATGCTGGGTAATCACCCTGAGGGTCTACGAATTACCTGGGGGTAACTCTGCTCCTACTGTATCCCTAAAACTGAGTAACTACCCTCCAGAAATATTCCACTGGAAACCAGGGGAACATGCATAAATTCATAGAAGATGCCAAGCACAGTGAATGCCTGGTACACATTTTCCCCAGAGAGGTGTGAATCAATGGATCTCCCTAAGCAAAAAGTCATACAAAACAGATGTGTTCTACAACCGATGACATATATTAGACCAGAGAGCTTTGCAGACCACATTCACACACCATTCAGTCAGGAATAGCCATTACAGAGAATGAGCTATCTGAAAAACAATCTAGTGTCATGGTCTCAAATACAAACTTCTTCCCAAAATTAGCTAATTGTTATGGTAAGGCTGGGTCAAACTTGCTATTAAGCTAGAGACAGGAAAAGAATGAAGTCTTTTTAAACAACCCCAAAATAAGAAATGAAACTGGCAATCTTTGGTTACAGGGCTGTTCTTTCAAATGTGAATTGCTTTGAAAAATGATGAATCACTTCCCAACTCAACATTCAAGTGCATTTTTAAATAGACATCTGGGAGGCAGAGAGGAAAAATTAATATAAATAATAAAAACCCCACACATTTTGAATCTCAAATGTTAACGTACAGGAAATAAAGTAATACAACATTTCTAAGGGAAGCTTCAGGAAAGTTTTGCTAAAATTATACAAGATAGAGCACTCATAAAATACTTGAGTTGATAAAGAGACTAAGTTATAACATTAGGACACTTTTATTGCTATATTGTAGATTACTGAGACAGAATGGCTTAAAGGCTCTCAGTACTACAGCATATGCCAGGTTTCACTAATTATGACACACTATAACTACTTTGCTCTTTCTGAGAGGCGGAAACACAAGGGGCAACACACACAAAATCAACTGATGTAGCCTATGCCTTCCATTAAAAATAAAACCTCAGCCATTAAATGTGCCACCCCATTTGCACATGTGATTGCTATTATATTTATGATGAAAAGTCCAATTCTATTCCAGACTTAAAAATGTAATTTACACCAAACAACTTTTTGGAGCAGTATTTTAAAATCTTTAAAGCTAGTTTGGAAGGACCTTTCTTCTTTTTTTTCAGCTAGAGCTAGAGCACTTTCATAATATTTTAATAGGTATAGGAAGCTATGCTGTAGCATTTAAAGTGCTTTTTTATTATGAGGTGGTGTTTAATAATATTCTTTTTGTAGAAGTTAATAAATGATCCACATTTTCCATGACAGAAAGACATGGCTTAATGAGCTAATATGCCTCAGCAAAATGCAATCAAAAAGAAATTCATTGTCAACAGTTTAACACATAGCTGAAATCAGACAACTAAACTCAGATAACTAAGATTAATGGATATATGATGAAGTTATAATATTTCTTACTTGAAAAAAATAAACAAACAACCCCCCCAACCAAATAATGATAATTAAGTCTCAAGCACAATTTAGTTTCCCAGTAATGCAACTGCAAAATTAATATTTTCAACAACCAAGTGCCCTATCTCCATTGCCTGCTTGGGAAAACATAGTACTCCTGGAACTACATGTGAGGGCTGTCTCTTGCTTTTCGTATCGAGGGGGTTCATCCCGGGAAACTGTGATCAACTGCAGGCAAGTAGTCGAAGTCCAGTCCAGGAATAAGGTGACCAGAGTAAGTCCCAGCACACGTGGGTTTATCTGGGGTCTTGCTGGGAGCCCTCCTGTTACCATTCTTGAAGAACCTGGATGGCGGTTCCTGTGGTGTCAGAGCATCAATGCAGAAGAACTGTCCCCTGCACCTCCCTGTCACCACCAGTGCCCTCACTTAGGCAAAGCACCGATGGATTTCAACATTTGATTTGTCTGAGCACAAACAGTGAGTTTCAATTTTACTGATGTTCTGTTTCATATAAGTTCCACATTTTCCTCATTATATCTCACTGTATTGGAAGTTCCTTTCCTCACTGGAAAGTTCCTTCTGGGAGCTGGATTAAGCAATGTATGGGATTATGGATTATGGAAATTATGGGATCAAATTCTGTCTTCACTTATATCCACAAAATTCTACTGACAATTAGTGGCAGGTAAAAAAGACAGCAGAATTTGAGTATAGGGACCTGTAGAATGAAAGATACGCAGAAACATGATGTTATTTCATTGACAGCTACCACAATTAGCTACACAGCTTTTAACTTCATTAGACACTCTGAGGTAAGGCCAAAAACTGAGCTTTGAAAATCTCAACCCTCTAGCGATAGCTAAACATAATCCTATATTTGTGGATGCTGATACATAATTCGATAATATATCTGTTTAGCTGTCATGGCACTAACCAGCACAGCTATGCTGAAACACAGCAACCATTTTTGCTAATTGCAAAGGCAGGCTAGTAGCAAAGTTCAAATGATTAGTGAGTGGAGGTCCTCAGAGCAATCCTGCTTAAAAGTAAATGTCCAGTAAGCTGCAGTTAGCATGTCTTGTTGATTCTCTTTTTTTTATCGGGGTGGTCTTGAACTGCAGATACAATCACAACGCTCATGGTGATCCAGCTGTATATCTACTAAGGCCATGTTGTTCCTGGTTCTGCCTTTCCTTCGGGAATGCCCAGGCTCCGGGATGAATTTCAGCACCTGGGAGGATGAAGGGAAACAAGTCTTTTAAAAAACTCTGTTAATGTTTTCAAGATAACAATGTCAGGGTTACTGACAGGCTGCCATGGTCCTGACTAGTCTCAGCAGAGGCCTCCACTTGCACCTCCTGCCCATTAGCCCCTACTCTTTGAACTGCTTCTCAGAGTTTCCTTTCCTCCTTTCCTAGTTCAAATATTCATAACCCTTTCCATCTCCAGGCAACATTTGGCAACAAAATATTGCCAGGCAACATTTCCCTTTCCCCTGTCCTTCTTGGTCCAACAGACCGGACTGGAACTGCATCTCAGTGCATGTTGCTGAGACGATGCGCTTGATGCTTCCCTACTCCTCCCACACCATTTACTGTATTTCTATGAATTCAGCTGCCCAGCTTATTGGGGCAGAGTCTGTTTATTCTTGTCCATACATATACAGAAAAATGGGGTCCAAACTCTAACAAGGTCCTTATACTCCTGAAACATTCATAGAAATTTTCTAGCTAAARCAACAGAAAACACTATTCACAGAGTTGAGAGTGAGTCCTATCCTTTGTACTACTAGTGCTTTACCATTGTCATGCCAGAGTGCAAAGCTGCTCATATACACCTGTACACTCTCAAGACAGTCTTTAGATAACCTGTCTTTGCATTATTTATTTGATATGTATTGATGCTATCTTGGAGGCCAGACTTTATTTGCTGTAAACTTGGACACATTTTTGTTATACTTTCAGCATTTTTTTCCATTATGTGAAAACCTTTCTGCAATGCTTTCCCTGAAGCTTTGACAGATTGGATTATTGCCTACATTGGGTATCTTTATCTCATGCATTCTCTGTCTTGGGACTGCTCCTCTGCATGCTAATTATCAGACATGTTTTTTGGTTTGTCTTTGCAGCCCCAAGCAAATCTGAATGGCTCAGCCCTTTCCCTCAGTTGTACAATGCTTCTGCTTTAAAGAACAAGGAATATTTTAAAAGTAGTTTGCAATTTCAAAAGCATAAATCATTAAAAGTGTTCCAAAAATAAATTACTCATGGAAGATTGAAGGAGATGAATGAAACTTTGGGACATGACAGTATGCAACTTCTGTTGGCTTCCCTTAATTCAAGCCATTTTTTAAGACAGGTTACTGTGGGAGGAAAATGAAACAAACTAACAGTGACATCCTAGGAAATAGTAAAAGAGGTTTATGGAACAAAAAAACAAACAAAAAAACCCCACTCTGTCTAGGCCGGAGAACCTACAGACCCTTGAAAAGGAGGGATGGGGAGATAGAGGTTATAAAGAAGATGAACAATAGGCAACTAACACAAATTGCAACATGGGAAATTTGAGCACATGGATGAAAACTCTTCATGACAAGAATGGTTAAACACCGGTTATCCAGAAAGGTCGTGGAATCTCCACCCTTGGATGCAGTCAAAACTTAACTGCCCATATGGAAGCTCCTCTAACTTTGGAGTTATCTCTGCTTTGAATGAAAGACTAGATTAGATGATGCCCAGAGCTGCCTTCCAACCCAAATGATTATATGAGTCTATGCTGTGGATATGTGTAAAACAACCAAGTCTCTGAATAAGAACTCATATCCCTGTCAACAAGGTAGCTCGGAATAAGGGAGAAGAATACACTTGTTTGGTTCATTAGATGGTTCTCTTCTGCAAACTGTGAGAAGAAGTTGTTTTCTTTGTATGTCTACAGTAGTTAAATAGAAGAGATAATAGTAATAGGATAATAATGGGACATACCAATTTTGTAAAAAAAAAGGTAAAAAAATTGTAATGTGTTTGAATTGCTTTCAAATACTGATTGCCTCGGTATATGCTACAAATATACAACAACAACAAAAAAAGACATCCTGATGGACACCAGTCAGGGCACCAGTTGCCAGCCAGGGCAACTRACTGGATTATGTTGACATTTACAACACAAAGGAACTGAACCCAACTGGACTGCTGATATTATTTCAGAGCTCAAAGTAGACTGCATCTTCAAGGATTTTTTTTAAGAAAACATAATTTTAAAATCAACTATAGCTGCTGCAGCTGAAGCTATGATAAAATTCTTTATTTAAGGAATCCCTTCATCAAAATTTGACAATTTCAGAGAATTGGCACTTTGCATCATGGGTAGGTAGATCTGCTTTTTTCAGTTGAGAACAAATGAAAGTATATGCAATGTGATGAGAGCAAAGATGTGGGCTGTATTTAAACTAACAGACCTCCTGACAGCATTGAGATTTTCCCTGTGTTTTATATTAAGAAACATGAGAAGAGTATATGGGCTTTGCTGATAAGAGCAGAAAATGAATTGGCAGGCACTTCCCCAGACAAGACAGGAAAGCAGTGTTTGAACACAGATGAAATTGGACTGCTTTAATAGCTGATCACAGAACTGATGTTCAAAGCTTTCAGTCTAGCTTCCATCTAACAGTTTTAGTTTCAGCTAAGTACAAGAGTATTGAAAAGAATCAAGAAGTAAGGYCATTTCTGGTGACCACAGGAGTTAAAAAAACCCTTTTACTCTGAAAATAATGCTGTTTATTCGTTAGATGGTCAGTTCCTTAAAGGTAAAGAACTACTGAATTAATGAAAACAGTTCAAAGAAACTGTGCTCAGGACAACTTTATTGCTCCTTGTTTTGATGAGAACAGTACTATTGCTTCTATAAGAAAATATGGATATAAGAAATAACTGGAATGTTTAAAAGGTTTGGGCTTGGTTCTAGAGAAATAAAGCAATGGTCTTGCAGTTTTCAAATTAAAGGATCAATGCCCATATGTACTAATCAAAATCTAGCGGCTCAGCTGTTTAGATTATTGTCTTAAAAAGAATATATAGCTAATATATAGCTACAGCCATATCCTCTTCATCAAATGCTGAATTAATTATGGTCATAGAACCACTGAAAATAAAAAGAAGACTCAATATCAGAGCTGGAGTTAGTGCTTACATATAACAAAAAGAAAAAGGGTGCTGGTGCCTTTTGCAGATGACTCCATACTAATATGCTATATGTCTTTTTTTTTCTTTGTAGCTGTATATGAATATCAGAGAGGTTTCAAGGTCAAGTGACTATAAGCACATACTTTTCCTTGTGGATGGTGCTAAATAAAATAGAAAAAAAAAGAATTCTTAGACATTTTTCTCTGTCAGTAATCTTGATCTTTGATCATGAATTGAATTTGGATGCCATATTCTGAAGGACTCTAAACTAGAGGACAAAATCATATCAACCAGGACCTGGAAGATGAAACAAAAACATCTCATTCTGGAAAAAGGCACTTGTGTTTAAACTGGGCTGACTTATCACTTGAATAGCATTCCAAAGAACTGTGGAAGTCTCAGTGTGAGAAATGAAAAAAATGGATGCCTTTCCAGAAAGTATATCACACAACTTTTGGGCTTGCTTTAGGTGCTGAGTGCTCTAATGCCTGTGAAGTACAGGAGGTGAGGATGGATGGATGGATGGATGGATGGCCCAGTTGTTCCCTCTAGTCTCTGCCTACACCCCTATAGACAGCACATGCACCCCAACCTCTACCTCTGCAGCAGAAGCAGCAACAAGGGGCATGTGCAGAGAATGATTCAGATGAAATATCCACCTCTGTATGCGGTGTTGGTGTCTAGCTCTTCCTGTTAACTAAGAAAGCAGCCTAAAGGCTGGACCTTCAGGTTTAGATAGTTTGACCCAGATGAGGTGAACTGTTCCCTTCAACATCCCCTGCAGGTCCTTGCCAATGTATTTTTTCCTTTGAAGTCAGGCTATGACAGTCAGCTACAGTCAAGTTACATTTAGCCATGAAAATCTGTGAGTCTGATTTTAGTTTTGGCGAAAAGCAAGGAATAACATAGAACCTGGCTAACAGTTCTAACAAAAGGTGTACTTTGTTGCTAATATCCATTTTTACTATGTTTATTTACTACACTTTATTAGTGCCAACTTTAGTAATATTCTTTGTTAGATGAGGACTTTAGAAGCAAATAAAAATGTGAAGCCTCAAACCAGCTTATTTTGCTTTCTCATAGGCTTTAGATCACACATGATCAATAATATCAGCGCAGTTCACCAAATATTTGCTTTATTTGCTCAGCTGTATATTCCAATGATTGAAAATGGAGAGCAAATCTGCAATTTTAAGTAGGTAAAATTGTACGTTGCAGAACTTATTTTAACCTACAGCTATGCAGCACTATCTAATCTCCCTCCACTCATCTAAAAATACCATCATTCTAGCATGCAAAGCAAATTATATTTGTCTGAGATTCATGAAAGAGGAAGCATCAAAAGTGCAAAACATTCAACACAAGATCCAAGTTGTGATATGGATGAGAAATCTCACTCTATAGTTTTTGAAAGTTATCTACTCCAAGGTTCAGATATAGTTCAGCTGTGCTCTTAGCATAAGAAATAAAGCATTGTGGGAATGTGGTTCATAATTTAGTATAAGGACCTTTATTCCAATAGGAACATAGCCTAAAATAAAGCCACAGACTCAAAGCTGTGTTCTTTCTTAATAGAAAGGAACAAATAAAAAAGATCTTTTTGCTAATTAGGGAAAGCACTCGAAGCAGGGGGTTACGAAATGTAGATGGGACTATTGCTACTATTTTTTTTTATTTATATGCATAAAAACTGTTTGTATGAATAAGAAATATCTGTTTGTAAAAGATGATGAAATAGGGAAAATATTAGTTTAAAACTCAGGCTGGAATAGTCACTTAAAACTACAGTGTTTCTTAGATGTGAGAACAGCAAGGTCCTCACTTTCAGTGATCTTGTAAAGAATTATGGCTCTAGTTGCTGTTCTTTTTTCTGAAAAGCTGCAGATGCTCCCCTCCCAGAACTGCATCACTCTGCCCAGTGATCACGTCCTGTTTCAGCTTAACTCGTGGATGTCATCATTAAAACTTACATTTTAATCTAGCCAAAAATGAACGTTTATTCTCACATTGCATCTTTTTGCTCTTTGCTCACCCTGTAATTTAGCAGCTACTT